GGTTGGATATGACTTAGTGACTGAACAACACTGTATCTTTAGAACTTTGCTCTTAGGTTGGTCAGACTCCATGGACATTTCCTCTAATTTTCTGGGGGAAAGTGTTATGGTGGCGGTGGGGGTTGGCTGGCAACACTCAGACGTCCCTAATTAATCCCCCTGCAGTGTGGCATCCTGTCCTCAGGTGGGTTTAGGGTCCCTCAGGCCAAAGACTGGCTAACACCTTGGCTTTCTTGGACTGTAAGTCAGTCCCTGCATGGCACACTGCTCCTTTATTCGAGTTTTAATGAATCTGTGGACGGAGGGGCCTGATGCTGGAATTCAGCAAGAAGGCTTTACTCCTCCTCCTCCATTCTCCTTGTCTCTGATGCCAGTGGGATGTTCCCAGGACTCTTTCCAGTCTTTTCTACTTGTCTGCCTAGCCACTGGTACTATATTGCTATTTAAGTCACTTTCTTAAAACACAAAACCAGTCACTGACTTGAAAACCACATGGGCTCTCCACTGCCCACAGAACAGTCACAACTCCTTAGCACAGCTCACAAGGTCATGAATGAACTGGCCCTAAGCTGGCGTGCCAGCAGGGCTTCTCTTCCTACCACTCACCACACTCGCAGCAGCAACGTTAATGTTAATAGTGCATCACCCCTGCTTGAAGACAGTCAGTCAGTTAGAGAGGAGGTCGGAACTAGACTGACTAAATGCATTATCTTGACTCTGCCACCTTACCAAGTTAATCTCATCTGCAAAACAGGGATCATAATAGTACCTGTCTATCATTGTGAGGATAATCTGAGCACTTGGGACAGCAGCTGGTATATGGAAAGTGTGACTGATGAACAAGTTAAAGATTTTAAGTTTCTGCACACCTGTCTGCCCCATCTCTTCTCATTTATTCAACACTTGTGGTTGTGTTTATTATAATGAGGCAGACATGATGCTATTCACAAGGGACAATGTAAAAAGAACATGGCAAATGGAGGCTGTTAAAAAACTATTAAAACATAATGCGACAAATGCTATGATATAGGAAAGAACACAGTGAAGAGAATACAAAGCAGGTAGGATCTAATGGTTCAAAACAGGAGGAGGAGTTTTCACAGGTCCAACATTTAAGATGGGGCTTAACCAAAAAATAAATAAAATTTTAAAAACCCACAACAAAAGGAAAAAAGATGGGGCTTCACAAATTTATAAGGCAAAAGGTGGTGTTCCTAAGACAGTGGGTTGGGGGAGAACCACAGGTGAGGCTAGAGAAACAGGTTGGGGCCAATTACACAAGGTCCTGTATAACCTGTTTCAGTCTCTATTTTGTTTCAACCACTATCAATTTCATCATCCTAGCACACTGGGAGTGCCATATACAATTTTAAGGAATTATAAGTATTTTGTTACTAGTAACAGTTGAAATGCAACTACTTGGCAATTATTTAAAAAATTAGAACATGCTTCCAAATATCATTGAAGAAGCCATATATAAAAGAACATATACTCTATAATCCATTTACATAAAAGACTACCAGTGAGTATGACTAGAGAGGGTACCCAGGGGGACTCCTGAGCGCCAGTAATGTTATTTCTTGATTCAGGTACTGGTTTCATAAACATGCTATTTGTGAAAATTGAAGTCATATATGTATGTATTTTGCTGTATCTGTTTTAAGTTAAAACAATAGATTCATAATTTATTGATTTATAAATTTAAATAAATGGTGCTCACTTGAACATACATATGTATTTACTTGGAGAAGAGGTAGAGTTACAGACTAGGAACTCATTGTGTGAGTATCACTAGTTTTGTGTTTTCCCTTATGGACTAACTCAGGACAGCTCTGGATACTCTGAACAGCCAGGAAAGTTATCACATTGCCAGCATCAGTCATCTTCACCATTACTAGGGCTTCAGAGAGGGTAGGACAGACTGACTTACACCTAAAGGTTAGTTATACATGTCTCATCTCTGAAATCCCAACACTCAGCATACACATGAGATTGCCTTTTTCTTATTTTACACATAATAAGGGGTTGACGGTTCCTTATTAATCTTATACAGAAACACAGGTAAAAAACACATCTATATAAGCATGGCTTTTAGTGCATTTAGCATTTATGTACCCCTAGAAACAATAAAGAATCAGGTTTTTCTTTAAAAAAAAGTAATTTTAAGGAAAAAAAAAAAGGTATTCAGTTAAAAAGTAAGAGTAAAACAAGATATACAATGAGAAGTCAAGCTTTCTACTCCAGATCTGTTTCCCAGGGAAACTGCTATTAGTATTTTCTTATATGCTGTTACATATTTTACAAAATTTTGCTACATATTGTTACAAAAGCATATATAAATATGCTGTGTGTATATTACTCCTTCCCTGCCTTCTTTCCTTAAACAAATGAGACTCTGATATATGTTTTTTATTGTAGGTGTTTCATTTCTGTAAACATGAATATAGCCCATTCTTTCCAGAAGTATATATATAACTTAGCACATATACTATGAGTATATATATTTTGACATTTAGCCAGATATTTCTGGTCTTTTGCTTTTATAAGCAGAAGATACATTCTTTCACATAGAAGAAGCCACCCCAATGAATACCCCCAACTCTGTTACCAAACTTTTTGACCTCTGCATTTCTCTTTGGTTAATACTAGCATCTCATTGTTATAATGATTAAGCCATCCTCTAGTTCCACTGATTTTTCTATTTCTACCTGAATGAGTGCTAATCTGTTTTATTAACACAGCCTTAAAATATATTTTAGGCTTTCCTGGTGGCTTAGATGGTAAAGAAACTGTTTGCAACAGACCCTGGATCTGTCCCTGGGTTGGGAGGACACCCTGGAGGAGGAAATGGCAACCCACTTCAGGATTCTTGCCTGGAGATCCCATGGAGGGACGAGCCTGGCAGGCTACAGCATGGGGTTGCAGAGTCAGGTAGGACTGAGTGACTAACACTAAACTATATTTTAATGTTTGGTAGGTTCAGTCTCCTTATATTTATCTATAAAAGGATCATTTAAAAATGTTTTAAGGATGACATTTCAGACTGCCTTAAGGACAGACTCACCAGCAGAATACAGTCACACTCTCAGTGTACAAATTCCTCACAGGCAGACCTTGGAGATACTCTGGACTCAGTTCCAAATTCACAGTAAAGCAAGTATCACTGTAAGGGGAATCACACTGAGTTTTTGGCTTCTCAGTGCATATAAACTAGTTACATTTACACTATATTGTAGTCTAGTAAGTGTGCAATGGCATTATGCCTACATACTGTAATAAAGAAATATTTATTGCTAAAAAAATACTAACCAACATCTGAGCCTTCAGTGATACTGAAGATGTTAAAGCCACTGCTTAATCAACTAAGCTTATAAAATATTTTTAAATCTTTTGTTGTCATTTCAACAATCTTAAGAGAATCTTCACTGGGAGCAGATTTTATCTTAAGAAACCACTTTTTTTGCTCATCCATAAGCAGCAACTCCTCATCTGTTAGAAGTTTTATATTTGTAACAAATATAATAATGAGAAGGTGTGAAATATTGCGATTACAATAATGTCACAAAGTGAGCAAATATTTTTGGAAAAATGGCACCAAAAGACTTGGATGACACAGGGTTGCTACAAACCTTGAACCTGTAAAAAATGCAGCATCTGCAAAATACAAAGTGAAGCACAGTAAAATGAGGCATGCTTGTAATGACATGAAAACTTGAATTTATTGCCTCCTCTCTAAAAGACAGAATTTTTCATATCACAACAATTTTAAACAGGAAAGAATTTCTTTTTAAAGTACCTTTAAAAAATCTTCAGAATATACTTGTGTTCTCATAGATCACATAGATACACACACACACACACAAATATATATATACACGCATGAAGCTAATCACTTCTCTTTAAAAAACCACTAAGATTTAAGTTTTTTACATATCACATTACATGTAAACACCTCAAAGGGAAATAATAAAGGTACTGGCTTATACAGTGTCCCTCCCAAAAATTCACACCTACCCAGACCTGTGAATGAAACCTTATTTGCAGATAGGGTCCCTGCTGATATAATTAAGCTAAGATGAGCTCATACTGGGTCTTTCCTGGTGGCTCAGCGATAAAGGCTCCACCTAGTAATGCAGGAGGCTGTTTTGATCCCTGGGTTGGGAAGATCCCCTGGAGGAGGAAATGGCAACCCACTCCAGGATTCTTCCTGGAGAATCCCCACGGACAGAGGAGCCTGGCGGGCTACAGTCCATGGGGTCTCAAAGAATGGGATGTGACTTAGTGACTAAACAACAGACAACAAGAGGTCATACTGGATGAGACTGGGCCCTAATCCAGTGACTGGTATACTTAAAAAGAGGGAAACTGGATACAGATAGACACACAGGGATGGAGAAGGAAATGGCAACCCACTCCAGTGTTCTTGCCTGGAGAACCCCAGGGACGGGGGAGCCTGGTGGGCTGCCATCTATGGGGTCGCAGAGTCGGACACGACTGAAGTGACTTAGCAGCAGCAGCAGCAGCAGCAACAGACACAGAGGGAAAACGTCATGTGATAACAGAGAAGGAGATTGAAGTGATGTAGCTACAAGTCAAGGAATACCCAGGATTCACAGCAATGGCCAGAAACACAAAGAGGCAGGGAAAGATTCTCCCCTAGAGCCTTAAGAGAAAGTGCAGTCCTGCGGACACCTTGATTTTGAACTTCTAGCCTCCAGAATTGAGAAAGAATAAATCTCTGTTCTTTTAAGCCACCAAGTTTGTGAGAATTTGTTACAGTATCAATAAGAAATTAATACAATAACTATCCCAAATTTGAGGAAGTTTGAACTACCATAGATTTCAAATGTTGTGCAACTGTATCAAGTGACTTGTTATTTGATGTATCCTTTTCAGTCACTAGGCTGCTCCCAAAAGGCAAAAGAAAAGCATGGTTTAGAACTTATTTTGAGGTTTATTAATTATTTTTAATACTGTTATCTCATTAAAGCACAATTTTATTAAGGAAAAACAGCTCCTGGAAATAAAATGTCACTGTTATACGAAGGGGTCATACTTTTATTATATATCGTTTCAATATGTTTTAACAACTTTAAAAGTGCTGTTGGATTATATGGGAACAGATTTTTCTTCTGCAAACGGTAAATGGCACCTTGTAGCTCTTCAAAGCACTTTACTGTTCTGTAAGATATTCCCACTTCAGAAGCAGTGTTATCTGGGGCTACGTCACAATAAACAGAGAACGGGGTATTAGATTCTTTAGTAACCAGAGGCCTTGACTGAGACTCTGGGCCAAGTTCTTTTTTATCCCCACTTGCTCCAAATGTGTCCTGAGTTTTCTTCATTGCTTCTTGGTGTGAAGATGTTAGTCTACTGTTTACTAAACACAGGCTTGTGGATCCTTCTTCAGAATCATCAGAGCTGTCATAATCTACCAGACTTTGAGAAGCTCCTGGGGTAGAAAGACAATTAGCCTGGGGCTTGGTGTAGGCCTTCTCCAACGTTACACCATGGTTCAGTGGTTCAGAAGCAGCAGCAGAGGCCCAGGAGACCCAAGAATGAGCATTTGTGTGACTACCAAGAACAGCCCAAGGAATAGCTTCTGTTGGGTTGCTGTTTCTATTTTGGACAAGTGAGGAGATACAACAACAAATATGTATGTTATCTTTAGATTCAGTTACATCAAAATAGTTGCAAATGGTGAAAAAATTATCCCAGTCTTTTTGCAATAATTTCAAGTATCTAACAAAATATTCAAGAAAACAGGTTTCTGATGAAATCAAAAAATCAAGAAGAACGGTAGAATCAAATCCTATATTTTTTAATAAAAATAAAAAAATACAATGCGGATTATAGCCATTTTCATGTGTGTGATGGTTCCACATTTCTTTTTCTTGGGTCAAGCTTTCAGTAGCTTCACATTCTCTGAAAATAACAGATATTCCAGATTAATGACTCTATAAATTTAAGTTTTGACAGATATAATTCACATACCATAAATTCTGCCAGATTATTTTTTAATCTATGCATTATTTTAAAAAGAAAAAAATTCAAAACAATATCTTTCTCTACAAATTCTATACAAACCTGATCCAATAAAATAAATAATATCCTTTGACTTTGGTAGTTCTAGTTTTTACCTGTCCAACAAATGTTCTCTGTCTTCCTATTGACATCAGAGTCTCTTATTCCTGCTGCTGCTGTTATTCCTACAGGTAACTAATTCCACATGGTAAGGTGGGAATTAACCTCCTTCCTTTCCTTCCACACTTGTCTCAACAGGGATGGGCATGTGTTCCAGGCTAACTAATCAGAGTACCCATGGTCCTAGACACCATGATTCCATGAATCTGTGACCCATGCAGGTTAATCAGACCTCCTCTGGGATTTCTGCTGGCACTATTAAAGATCTTATCTGTAAGGTTGCTGTAAGTCTGGCACTGCTGGTGGCCCTGCCTGAGAATGAACTCAAAGCTATGAGACAGAAACAAAGAGAAATAATCAGTGACATGATTTAAGTCATGCACCTTGACCTGATGCCAACTTGACTCCTTGGAATTCCCAGGAAGTAAATTTCTTTTTTGGCTTAGACTAGTTTATATTGATTTCTATCATTTATAACCAATCTTAACCAATTCAGTTACATTAAAAAAATACATATGATATGACCACAGGCCTCTGTGATCACATGAAATTCAAGAAAATTAGAAATTCACATGCAAAATAAATTTAGTTCAGAAGCTTCCTCTTTCCTGAGTCGTAAGAAGTCAGCTTTGAATATGACTATATATTCTTCAAGGCATGTGTATTCAGACTGAATTTGTATTTGATTTCTGAGCCTAATTCAAATCACATGCTTGCATTTTGTGTTCTTGATTAGAACCTTTTGAAAATTGGCCTCAAACACTTATAGTCTGAAAGCAGTCATTGCCAGAAGTGTCATAATACAAGTAAGAACTGGCAGCACAACACTACACCGACAACCATTAGTAAGAAAACCCTTTCTCTGAAGCCAAGAAAGAAATGGAAATAAAGCAAATACTTTACGGTTTTAATAAAGCAGAAGCAGAAATACTGTAAAAGGTCATCAGTTATTAACTTCATAACCAATTACAGATATTTGCCATAAGATATAACCCAAGTATAGCTCTTTCAATAAATAGAAATAGGATCAGTATAAAATGTCATCAGTAATATAACTTCACAATCAATTTCAGATATCTGCCTCAATATGATATCAGTACAAATTCAACTGTATATTAAAATGGAAATTTACAAGTTCCTTTGATTACTTACAAGTTTGAAATCAGCTTTACAAAAGCAAAAATCACCTTACAGAAGTTCAATACAGACAAAGTTAGTCTTAAGGGTGAAAAGAGTTTCAAATGTCAATTAAATTATGACAATGGTATTAACTTATTCTTGATCACACAGGTAAAGCAAAGATGGAGACTCAGCCAGAATCCATATTGTCTAATCTCAGTTTAGTTCTAATCCTTAGATCTGCTTAGTCATCCAAGTTTTCATAATAAGAACTCAAATGTAATCTATTTTCATGTAGGGCAGTCTAAAAGGAATTGGAACTTAAAAGGAAACCACAAGATTGTTAGGGATTTTTTCCCCCTAATGATGGAAAGTAAATTGTATGTCTAATACATTATTAAAAATGTTTTCTGCTTTCCTGGCCATGTTAGTTAGTATAATTACTTTAAAATATACAAACCTGGTCAACTTCAGATAGATGCCCAGCGATGCTTTGGCAGCCTCCAGCATGTCATCGTCTTGTTCTATGAAGACCCTAGACAACCACTCACAGAGATTGTGTGATTGCAGAGAGGGCTGAAGGTGAGGTTTTAAGAAGATGAGTAACTCAGACATGAACCTCTGTAAATCAACTTCAAAAAAAAATGAAAAATTTAAAGAGAAAACAACAGTTTATGAATGCATTTATAACAACTTACCTATTCACATACATTTATAACATCTAGAGTACTTTAAAATGTATTATCATAATTCACATATTCAAAAGTTTGAGTTAGGGATTATCTCTACTCTGTACATTAGGAAACTGAACTTCAGAGGGAAAAAAAAGACCCACTCGGTAGGATATAGTTAAAATGCACAGCCAGATCATCTATATCACAGTTCCACATAGCTAGTATCTCTGAGAAATAAAAGTTACATGAATTCTTGCTAAAAACATATAAATGAATAAATAGTAGACAACAGAAACTGCTTCACTGGATGCCACAGTGTTTGTACTAGAGGCAACAATACAACCAAACAAAAATAACTTGCCTTCAAAATACCAGCATAAAAAGTTTTTGTTTGTTTAAAGTTTTTTAAAGCATTAAAAGAAAGTACTACTATTAAGCACAAAAGTCAAAAAGGTTTTGAGGTGTTTTAACTGCAATTTAACTCTTGACTTATGTAACGAACGCCATCTAGTGTTGTAAATGACAACTGCACAGGATTACACCCTACATTAGTTTAATTCAACTCCTAATTATCAAAACTCTGTAATAGTAGATATACCAATTTTGTGAAGGAAAATATGAATAATATACTACAAATAGCTGAACGTGAACTGACTAACATTGCTTACTTTGAAGAGATTCAACAATCTTTTTCTTTTAATTACAGTTATTAACTATGCTATGCAAATTCAGTTTAGCACACAAAACTGAAACTTTTTAAAAGACAATTCTAGCTTTTTATCTTTATTGGGAGAAAATTTAATAAATTATAACTAGAACAAGATACAACTTAAGTTAGTGAAATTACAATCCTGAGCTTTGATAATTATGAATAATTTTACTTCAGTAAATAATTATCCACTATTTACATACAAAAGGCATTCAGAAAGTTACCTTTCATTTCATTTGCTGAAGCACAATTTTGAAACTTGATTTCTAAGGATCTTATGATAAGTAAACTCAATGCTCTAAGAATCACATGATCTGGACCAGGGGCATGCTCATATCCAGGTAGGACTTCACCACCTCCAAAGCAGGAAGGTTTTCCACCGACAGACAACGTCCTCAACAAGCCCAAATCCACAGCTTGCAGAACAGCGCTGGCCAAAGCCAACAGGTCCACATGTAAAGGATTATCTGGTGGCATGAAGGCAGGGACAGATCCCCGACAAAGGTCTTCACCCGCCTTGCACAGAAGGCACTTTTTGATGACGATGATCAACTTCCTTTTGACAAAAGCCTGAACAGGCCAGGTAATAACATCAAACACACAAGAAGCTTTCAAAAATAAAATCCTCTGGCAAGTGAAATGTAACTTCAGGTGGATTCTGGAGGCTATAAGAAGTTCAAGCAATTCCAGGAAACATATTAAACTGTTTATTAGTTTAGAAGCATCTTGGTGGTTTTCAAAATGCTGAGAAAATAAGGAATTGTAAAAGACTTCAAAAAGAGTGTCAAAAGGATTCAGGAACTGTTTTAGAATTTCTGCAATTATAAAAATAGCAATTATAAGCAACAGGAAAAAGTTTTCTTAAAACACAATTTTACAATTCAATTTTTAAAATTATCATCACTTTGTAAGACAAAAAAATGGACTGGATTATTTACCTCTAACACAAACAAATGAAGATAAACATGCCAACAGCTAATAATCATGGTTAATATCCATTTTACAAATACCAGTAACATTAGACTATGCAAAGGACATATAAAAATGAAAAGCTTTAATTTCAAATTTTAATAATAGTGAAAAGAAAGTGAAGTCACTAGGTCTTGTCCAACTCTTTGCGACCCCATGGACTGTAGCTTACCAGGTTCCTCTGTCCATGGGATTTTCCAGGTGAGAATACTGGAGTGGGTCATAATACCCAGATCTCCTGGGTCAGGAAGATCTCCTGACCCAGGGATTGAACCCAGGTCTCCCACATTGTAGGCAGACGCTTTACCGTCTGAGTCACCAGGGAAGCCCAGTAATAGTGAAGTTTTACATTTTTCCTTCTAAAAAGGTATCCTCAATCAAAGACTATGGGGCATGGTTTTTTAGCTCTTCATACTTCAAAACAATCAGAGGTTGTAAAATAAGTTTTACTCATAAAAATATAATGCTCCCTTGGAACAAGACAATGACAACTGTTTATGGGGGAACACAGTTCATACCTGTTTTTTGTGAAGATGTATCTTTAAAGATTTCTTTAATTACAAAGGTAAGTATCCAGAGGCAGTATACTACTTGATTACTTTCAGAATATTCAGAAATATTTTTTTGGCAAAAAGAAATCCAGAAATTACTCAATGTTATCTATAAGTGAGAAAAAAAACTTTTAAGTAGTAAGTTGTAATACAACATTTTCTTTGCCATTACAAATTATCTATTTTACACAATTCTATACAACACTGTTTACTTCATTCCAAAAAAAAAGTATAATATTTGTTAAAACAAGGACATAAATATCCCAGTATTCCTTAAGTTAAAAAAATTTAATATGCCATAGAAATAAAAAACCAAGAAGGAACATGAAATATTAGCAGTGGTTATTATTTCTGGTGTCTGGAATGATATGAAATTTTTATTTTGGTCTTTATACATTTTCCCTTTTTCAAAATTTTCTATTGTACATACCACCTTTTTGAATTCAGGAAAGAATGTTGTTTTAAGAAAGGAACAAGCAATTACAGCTAAAAGAAGTCAGTAAATGTTTATATATATTAACTAATTCAGAGATAAGAGAAAAATTTGATAAATTTGTTCATATTTTTTCATTATGCTGAGGCCCACTCTTAGAATTTATATTAAATCTATGAAAATGGTCTTAGTCTCAAGCAGGGGCTCCTAAGCTTTGTTTTTGGAGCAAGGAGGCCTATTTGAGAATGTGAACAGTTATGGACCCTGCGACCTGCAGTCTATGTTTTGAGTTGAGAATCTTATCTGTAATGATTTATAATGTTTTTAAGACTCTAATCCTTGAAATAAGTCACCAACATATTATTCTATTCTTACACTTTTGTGGATTTACACATTATGTAAGCAAATATTTTATTGATTAAAAACTGAGTGCCAGAGATCAATTTTAAAGAAAATATAAAAGTAATAATAACATAATTTGATTACTTATCTTACCTTTTCCTTCAGTTGGAAATACAGAATTAGTGCAAGGCACTTTGCTGCCATGTGAGATAACAATTTTTCCGAGTTCTGGAACATACAGGTCTACAGGAAAACAAATAAATTTACCTACTGTTGCTGAATGTTTTAAAACTTTTGTTTAAAAAATCTAGACCTTAAAAAAAAAAAAACAACACAAAAAGCAAATGGGCTTACTAATTGAGATTCGATGTCAGATGATTTTAAAAGAATTTTAATTATATCTCTGTATTTCTCCTTTGCATGGAATTCAGTTTCCACAGACAATATTCTGGTTATCATCACTCTGATCACTGTTAACTGAAGGAGCGTTATTTCTTGGGTACTGCTCATCTGAGAATGTCTCTGCAAACACACAGGTGCTACAGACAAGGTAGGCAAGCTGACAGAGGATGGCTCTTGCTTGCCCTGAACATCACGGGCGTTTGAGCAGTCTGAGGAGGTGCTTGCAGAACAATCTTGATCTGAAAATGCTGGGTAGAGATAAAAGACGTAATCATGGCTGTCATTTTCAAGTGTGGCTCCAAGAAGTACCTTCTTGTATAATTGTTCTAAAACTTCAAAGAAAGCTTTCATTTTGATGGCCAAGGTCTTTGTTATAAGAAGGTCAATAACTCCAAATTGTAAATGTTAATCTTGGAAATGTGATGACTCTCTAAGATGTTTCTTCGGTAAAACCTAAAATAGGAAAAGTAATTTTAAAAGTGCAAGTGTTATACGCATTACAAAGGAAAGGCACCTGTTTCTTTTTTAAATTTATTTTTAATTGGAGGATAATTGCTTTACAAAGTTGTGTTGTATTCTGCTGTACAACAATGTGAATCAATCTTAAGTGTACAAATATCCGCTCCCTCTTGAACCTCCTACCCCTCTAGGCCATGTTACATAGCAACTTCCTACTAGCTATCTATTCTACATATGTTAATGTAGGTGTTTCAATGCCACTCTCAATTCGTCTCACCCTCTTCTAATGGAAAAGCATCTCTTTCTATTTATTTAGTCTCTCAAGTTAAAGGTAATACTGACTGTGTAATTTTTTAATATGGAAAATTGGTAATAACATTATTTTTAATGTATAAAAACAAAATGTATGTTTTTCATGTAGATTTAAGACCATAAAATTATTTTTAGTTTTATCATAGCAAAAACTTCAGCTTTCTTCTAACATTCTTCAATGGGCTATTAGGGTTTCATATTGGCATGATTAACAGTAGGAACTGGGTAATTCTGCTTTGGTGGGCTGTCTTATGCACTGTAGGAAGTTCAGCAGCATTTCTGGCCTCTACTGATTAGATGTCAGTAGCAGGCCCCGGGGATTGGGGGTGGGGCAAAATTGTCTAGGTTTAGAACCACTTGGCCCATAACACAAATTCATTAACTTTCACCTTCCATTTACAGATGAAAACCTAACGTTAGAATGCTATGTGGTCAAATATTATGGTTATTGCTGATTAACTCCCAACTTAAAAATTATTTAATATAAAGAAACCTTGGTAATCATTTATAATGTTGTTATTCAGTCTCTAAGTCATGTCTGACTCTTTGGGACCCCAGGACTGCAGTATGCCAGCTTCCCTGTCCTTCTCCATCTCCCAGAGCTTGCTTAAACTCATGTCCATTCAATCCATGATGCCATCCAACCATCTCATGCTGTCACCCACTTCTTCTCCTGCCCTCAATCTTTCCCAGCGTCACAGTCTTTTCCAATGAGTCGGCTCTTCTCATCAGGTGGCCAAAGTTCTGGAGCTTCAGCATCAGTCCTTCCTATGAATATTCAGGGTTGATTTCCTTTAGGATTAAATGGTTTGATCACCTTGCTGTCCAAGTGACTCTCAACATTAATTTTCATAACATTAAATTAAAAAACATTAAATGTCATCCCAAGAAAAAGACAGGATATTAAGCAAAAGCAATCCAAACATAAGCAAACTAATTTGTATTTGTAGTTGGTTATAAATTTATATATCCTGGATGTCTCAGGCTCCTTTGACCTGATGGAGACCAGAAAGAAAGGAAAAAATCAGACATGGCTTTTAAGGAGAAAAATGGGTAAACAACTGACAGATGAATATTAGAGGAAGCATGTAGTTACGATAGAGCAGGGATGGCTAGAAAAAACTAAAGACCGTGGTGTGACCAAGAGAGATTGCTGAATAGCCTTTCAATGGAATAACGGGGCCTCTGGGAATTACCTGATCTGATGGGGCTTGGTCTTTTCACTGCCTTTGAGCTGTTTTGTTTTTGTTGCTTAGTTGCTAAGTCATGTCAGACTCTTCTGTGACCCCATGGACTGCAGCCCACCAGACTCCTCTGTTCATGGAGAGGAGTATTCTTCCGGGCAAGAATATTGGAGTGGGTTGCCATTTCCTTCTCCAGGGGCTCTTGCCAACCCTGGGATCCAATCTGTGTCTCCTGCATTGGCAGGCATATTCTTTACACTATTTTATACCTTCATAAATTGTAGGTAACTAATAGAAATGCAAATAATTCTTGTTTATGGACATGCCCATAATTGTCTGGTGAAAGGGCAGCCCTCCCTGTAGTGGGAAAATCCAGTTTTACTTCCATCAGTAAACTCATTTCAATATTGCTTCTCTATATAAATTCACAGTTCATCAGCTTTTAAAATGGTTGTGATATTTGGCTAGTTCTTTAATTAGTTAAATAAATTTGCTCCACATTGATTTAACATGGGTCATGATGCTGTCCTTTTAAAATGCATCCTTTAACAAAATCCATGGAATTCTCTCCTTTAGCCTGGCTCACTGACAAACACCTATCTGTCACCCCTTCCCTCCCAACGGGAAGCGGTCTCGGAGGGAGCGCTGTCACTTTACTGGGTCCCACTTTGACTAGGGGCCACTGGCCTGCCCCTGGTCTTCCGCCCTCCCTCTGCAGTGGGTTCTTCCTCTCACTTCGTTTAGAAGGACTTCCAACCCCTATAAGGCAAAGCTGCCCTGTTCCAGTCCTTTAGTGCAGAAATATTAAGAATCCTATAGATTTTAAAGTTATAAATGAAACTTCTGTGGTGCATATCTCACACAATTTATAAACGTAACTATGGTAATAGCAGTAACCCTGTTCCGTCTGGCAACATTAAAGCTGACCTGAGCCTTGTGCTCCCAGAAAGCAGTTATGGTTAAGAAGCACTACACCTTCTGTGTTCCAAGGAAGGGCTGACCACTGGTGATAGGACCCACCTCCACCCTTCCTTACTGACTTCCTAGTTTTATAAACTCCACATTTTCTCCTTCTTTGAGAGGCTTCCCATTAATAAACATTCTCCCTGTTGCATCAGCTTGAATAAAATCATCTCATTAATTGTCTGGTATATTTTGTCTGTCACACAGCAGAAATTAGTTTTCACATTCTCCTTCAAAGATGAATTCCATTGTGCTTATTTTTAGTTTAGTTACAACATTTCTTCCCAACAAAACTATTGAGATTTTTATATATAAAATATTCTATGATAATATTTCTATACATCCTAAGTTCTTAAATGTTACCACAAAGGAGAATAAAACTGCTATTTCAACTATTTTCAACCTAATGTGAATGCCAATAAATAGGTAAACAAACACTTCAAGGGGTGAGGGGTGGAGAGGAGAACGGGCTGTTTTCTATCACGGTGGGATCGAGGATCTTGGTAAGAGTGGTTATGAGAAATCAGATTGAAAAACTATAAACTTGAAGATACACAGAGTCAAAATATGCTTTACAGACAGAAGAAATCACAACAGCATAAACTAGGGGTCACAAATGGCAGGCAGATAATGAATGAATGAAGATAATAGGTGCTAGGCCATTTCTACTCTATCATAAACCTTTCCTAATTTCAGTGTCTTTTAAGATACTAATACCGGCCAAACAAAACTGCACTGAAACAAATGTTTATGGTAGCCCACTGAGAATTGAGAACTGCAGCTGTTTTCAAGCAATTATATCACTAAGGGCAAGTTCAAATCCTGAAAAAACAAGCTAGGGGGTTAACCAGCCACACTTTTTTTCTGGAATGGTTGCTACAAGATGGGGACATCTCAAGCTGCATTACCATACTGGTCTGGAGAAAGGCACACCCCTCAAACACCAGGTTCTTAAGAGATTCCAACAAAGCAAAGTGTCTGGGAAAAGACGCTTAGAGTACTGACAGGCTGTGGATCCAGTTATCCTGGATAAATGAGAGAGATCTGCCTAGCCTGGAAAGGACACAAATGTTAGGAGGGACCTAATTAGGACAAGTGAATGAGTGGTGCTCTTTGGAGTTTTTTCAGAAAACACCTCCTGGCAGAGGAGTGTGAACTCCCACATTAGGGGGCTAAGGGTGTGCCCATTACAAGCACAAAATTTGCTTAAACTCTCTCTTGTATTGTTTAAGGGATATAAACTATTTGAATTTTGCAGTCAAACCTTAATAGTACCACGTTAGTCTTAATATAAAAAAGATAGTCCCCACCATTTTCAAATAAAAAAGATGGTCCCACCCATCCTCACACAAAATCAATGATTTAGGGATAATGGTTGCTAAAGTTTATTGAGTGCCCACTATGTATCAGAAACTGTTTCAAGTGAGTGATAGCTTCACAACAGCTGTTAGAGGTGTTAAGTACTACACCCATTTTACAATAAGGAAACTAAGGCACAAAGAGCTCAAATGATGGAGCCAGTTAAGTGGCAGAATCAGTATTTGAACTCAAAAAGTCTAATATCAGAGCCAGTTACCCCTTCTCAAATTTCCTCTAATGCTCCAAAAGCCTCAGGATAATGGTTGAATAGAAGCTCTCTAATAAACTTCCTAAGTAAAAGGAGTAACTCCCACAGCCTAATCTTTAATGGTTTCTATATGTACTCCTGTAATACTGTAAAAGAGAATACTGATCCCCAGAACCACTTCTACATGTTGCACTTCCCAGTGTAAACTACAATTAATTTTTTCAAAAAATGGCAACCAAAGGTTGAAACATTAATTAGGACTCCCATTTGATTGACTTCTACATTAAATTACTTTTAGTAGCTACATCAAACCCCGGGTGAAAAGCCTATCTACTGATCATACTTTGACATCAGCTCATGAACAGTTTAAAGGCAGTACAAATATGTGACTAAGACAGTGATTTAACTTCATTTAAAATAATTTCAACCATTCACAACAATTAACTCAAGATGGATCATGGGCTTAATACTTAAAATTAACCTTTTAGAAAAAAAAGAAAATCTTCGGGATCCAAAGCTAGGCAAAGAGCTCTTAGACTTGGCTCCCAAAGTAAAAAACGATAAATTGGACCTCAACAAAATTAAAAACTTTTGCTCTGTGGAAGACCCTACTTAAAGTGAAAAAGATAAGCAGAGACTGAGAGAAAATATTTGCTAACCACATATCCAACAATGCACTAGGATCTAGAACACATAAAGAACTCTCAAAACTCAACATTACACTAAAAGATGTTCAACCACAGTAGCCATTAGGGAAATGTAAATTAAAACCACAGTAAATACCACTATCACGATGACTAAAATAAATAAGTGACACCAAATTCTGGCCAGGGCACAGAGAAAGTAGACTGCTTTACACTGTATTA